CAACAACAACAACAACAACAACAACAACAACAACAACAACGCCGCAATCTCCCACAACAACAACAACAACAACAACAACAACAACAACGCCGCAATCTCCCACAACAACAACAACAACAACAACAACAACAACAACAACAACAACAACAACAACAACAACAACAACGCCGCAATCTCCCACAACAGCAACATCAAACCGCCGGCATCTTACCCACTGGTGCAAGAACGTGGCCCCCTCCGGAAGCGCTGACAGCTCGGAAAGAAGGTCCTCGCACAGGGCCAGCTGCTGGGGCAGCGCCCGCCGCAGCCCCGCCTCGTCGATATCCTTGACCGCCTGCACAGCCTCGTCGATGTTGCACCTGTTTTTAGGTCGCAGGGTCAAATGTGTTTGTTGTTCAGGTTTGGAGGGTACGTAGGCCTCTACGTCATCGAGTCTTTGTTTCAAAATCGTGGTACAGCAGTACTTTTATTGAGGGCGGAGCGGTTATCTCTTGCTTGTTGGTGGTGAGAGTCCTCGGAGAGAGCTGCACGAACATGGTGCACAGGACGCGTGAGCATCGGCAGCTCTTCTACACACGTCGGACAACTACTGCTGTAAACCAGATTTCATTAGAACGGAATACGGGTGAACGCGTGAGTGCCATGTTGTAGCATAGCAATTCACCTCTTGCAGCTACACGAACACCTCTTGCAGCTACAAGAAATCACGCGTTAATATCCACAATGCTTGTTCTACTGGGTGGAAAACGCACAACAAAAACCGGTAGACAATTCTCCTCTTTTCTAACTCCCACACAAAAGCTTACATAGCCGATGGAAACACCACCAGCAGCACAAGGCACAAGTTGGAAGTCCTAACATCGCACCTCTTGCAGCGAAGCTTGTCGTGGGTGTCCGAAGGCGTTCCCTCGTAAAGCTTGAACAGGTCCTTCAGGTCCTTCGACGACAGGGAGTTCACCTGATATATCGCGGCGTATGCACGGGGGGCGGGGGCGAAAGGAACGTCTGCTTCTACGCGGGGGGGATAACTCCGGCTGAAATACAGGGTCGTTTTGAAGACAAGCAGGAGCTTCAGATCCTTCGACGGACGCGTGTGCACACGGAGGTCGGTTATCGAGCTTATGCTGGTCTGGAGACCATTGGATCTTCAAAGCTGATGAAGCTGTGTTAGATACGTTCACTGAGGGGCGTCCAAGAGGGGGAAAACCTGTCGAAAGCCGTCTAAACCCCCCGCATGCTTGTCTATCCCAATCGAACTTTGAAAAAAAATCCGCAATTCGCTTGGCTTTCACTGCTATCTGCTCCGCACTCGGCAATCCGCTTCGGTTGTGCTGTCTAGCGCGTTTGCCATGAAGGCAACACATCAATCGTTGGCGACGGGTCGCAGGAGCAAGTTGGCAAGGTTAACACGATAGCAGCAGCAGCAGCAGCAGCAGCAGCAGCAACAGCAATAACAACAGCAATAACAACAGCAGAGCAGCAACAGCAGCACAACAGCAGCAGAGCAATAGCAACAACAATAGCAACGGTAGAGCAGAAGCAGCAGCACTAGCAGCAACAGCAGCAGAAGCAACGCACCTCTTCCTTGTCGTCGACGATGTTCTGCAGCCCTTCCTTGGAAAGCTGTCTCTGGAACACCTTCTCCTCGATCGTCCCCGTAGACACGAACCTATTCATACCGGAGGCGTTTTCACAAAGGGGGGCGTCAGACGAACGTCCCAAAGAGGGGGGGGTAGAGCTTGCCTCCAGGCGGGACATCTTCTCCTCCGTCGTACACTCACATAGTGGTATTGGGGAGGGGAGTTGTACTCATGTATGACATACCTTAGCTGTTAGACCGTTGGCCACGTGTCCTCGAGAGGACGGATCATTGGTCCCACGGGACCGATCACCGATGGTTGGCATCGGCGGGCATTGGAATTTCGAGAAGTGTTGAGGAGGGTGCTTGCTGCTATCTTGGCTGCGATCGTCCTCGCGCGAACGCGTGAATCAATTGTTGTCCGGCATGCGACTTTGGGCTTGTGACGATGCTCGCAGCGGGGTACCAGACCGAACGGTACTGCGCAAAAAAAACACTGACTTTTTTTTTTTTTTCCAACAAAACAACACGGTGTCAAGCCAACCTGTAGGTACACGAAAGGATATAAGTGAAGAGAGGTCCCTGACTCTGCGAAATACTGATTTCTTTATTTGCGCAACGGCGCTGGGAAAGACTGCCTATTTTCCACGTCCGCGATTTTTAGCCCAAGAAGTATTTTTGTCGCCAGTCCTTCTCCTCAGAGAGTACGGGATCAAACTGTGGCATACACCTCCAACGGTCCGTGTATCCGCTTCCCCCCGCCCAAGAATTGGTTGGAAAACGTCAAGTAAACAACTACAATGTACAACTACTTAACACTGCAACTCCTTGTATCACTATACTGCTACAATGTACAACTACTTACACTGCTACTCCTTGTATCACTACTACTACTACTGCTACTGCTACTGCTACTACTACTACAACCATGCTGCTGCGGCGGTCATTGCTCTCCTCCATCACTACCATCATTTACTCTCCTCTATCAATGCTATCGTCACAACCATGCCGCCGCAGCCGCGACAAATCAATCAAACCTGTAGACGAAGCACCGCTTCTTCTGCCCGTCGCGCCAGACCCTCGCCGCCGCCTGCTTGTCCACCGCGGGGTTCCAGTCCGGGTCGAACAGCACCAGACGGTTGCCACCGATCAGGTTGAGTCCGCACCCTCCCGCTTTGCTGGCAGAGCAGAGCGAAGCGGCCAGCAGGGGATGGGGGTTGGTGTGTGGGAAAGGGTGTCGGCGGGGGGAGGGGGTGCAACCGTGTAAACGAATGCCTTAATTTGTCGGGTAGACCATGCAAGGACGGAGCGATATGCCGGGTTTTCGCCGGCCAAGGTTTGTAGTACGTTTCACAAGCATGTACCAGATGCTGGTCAACAACAACATTAGCAACACATCGAACAACAGTAGGTTTTTTTTTTTGGTCTTCACTTCGAATCAGCCCTCACAGCACTAATGCCGTTTACTCCAACCCGTGGTCCAGCATCGAGCAACAACAGTGCAACGACAAAAGGCAACAGCGACAACAACTGCATGCAACAGTAACAGCGCCGGACCTGGACAGAAGGAAGGCGAAGCTCTGAGGGCCGGGTTCGTTGAACGCGTTCACCATTTTCTGCCGTTTCGACACCCCCGTGCTCCCGTCCAATCGAACGAATGGCCTGTCCAAGCGTGGACAAAAGGGGACACATCGTGTATGAAAATAATGAAGGGAAGGGGGGGGGGTGCGGTTTCATTGGACGAAGTGTTCCCCGTATCTAGCGCAGACGGGGGCAACGACGATTTGGGTAAGTGTATCAATCAGAAGGAGGGCAGGGGACTCATCACAGCCATCCATTGTCGTCGTC